CAACTTCTAGCAATCTGTAGTTAAAGCTTACTAAACCAAATGTTATATCTATCTTCTATATACCTTGACAGGCTATTCTTTTGTCACTTTGCATGACTACATTTTGAACACATTTATATTTCTAATCTTGCTACCTTGTGACCATGAGTTGTAGAGCTTCATTATGCACTGACTGAAAATGATTTTCTTTTTAGCTTCCAGAGTTTTCTTGTAATAAATCATTAATATTTGTTCACCATTCATCTTCCCCATGTCACCTGTGATTGTATAGATTTTTGTTCTACCTCAACACTGAAATACTTCAATAGGTTTGACCATCTACGTCACACTTCCTCATATTTTCATTATGTCCTTTCTCAAATGAAGATATCATAGCTGCATGCATAGACGCACACATTTACTACATGTTTATACAGCGGAATAATGCTTTTTCTTTTGCTATTTATTCCTCTCCTAATAACTCCTAAGGCTCTGTGGGTCTTTGACCATCATTGAGCATTGAGATGGTGTTTTCAGAGAATTATCCACAACTACTTTCCCCGCCCCCCCAGCACAATGTATTATTGTTATTTGTTATTTCTAAGTCCACAACTGCATGTCTGCTAGAGTTGCATTTTTGCCTAGGTGCTTCATTTTCCATTTATTGATTTTGAATTTCATCTGCTGTTCTACCAGCCACTCAGTATCATACAATCCTTCCCAACTTTTTGGTCACTTTTTGCTACTACCAATCCAAGGATTCAAGCACCAACCTGTTGCCTCATTATTTCCCCATTTTCAGTTACATGAATAGATAAAAAAAAACCACACAGGCCCTCCCTCTGGGACTCCAGCAATAAATCCCATCCTGCTCTCTAATAAATCATTGATTCCGTCTTCTCCCTGGCCCCTTTCACCCATTACTGATATATAAAATAGCCCCTCTTCTATTCTATGATAGTTCATGAAAAGTTTATGAAAGTTTAACTTTTGGTGACAGACTTTGTAAAAAGTCACCAGGACTTATCATTCAGTTATACTGTATTTTTTCATCTTCTTTTTTTCTTTCTTCTTTTTAAATGCTCATCTTTAAATTATTAATTCCAGTATTGCAAATTTTGTCTTATCTTCCCTTAAGGAATTAAAAGGTAAACAAGATTTGGAAAAGGAAAAGTTTTCTTTCATTAATGAAAAGTATCTCTAAAATAGTATTACATGGAGATTTAATATATACTAGATTTACTGTGAGTAAAACAAAACAATAAAGCCAGCTCATCAGCAAAGAGGACAATCCTTGTACTGTTACCTCTTTACAGTCTTTTACAATTGGCTGCATCATGGTAAGGTCCTGATGACTGCCACCCATAGCACTGCTTGTACTCTTGTTTCTTGCATGGCCTTTCTTAAAAGGAGTTTTTCCACTAGACTGAAACTCCTTAGTTGGAGATGTCGGTGAAGTAGACAGCACTAGTGTTTTCAACGCTGCTACTTCAGCCTGGAGGA